CGTATTAAATTTTATAATAAAAAGTTTCCTTTCACTTTCTTTTTTTAAAAATTTGGTGTATTGTAAGCTAGCTATTGTAAGTTATATTATTTGATGCATTGTTAGAAAACCAATTAGTGATTTATTACAGGGTCATGATACCACAGCAGCTGGCTCAAGTTTTGCACTATGCGCCTTAGATGTCATCAAGATATTCAGGTAAATTTATTTGCAATTTAGTATTTTTTGGAAAGAAATCTTTAAAATTCTTTATCTTTTTATACTCAATTTTTCTTATTTTTTCACTAAATCTTATATAGTCATTGCAGTTGTGTGACATTTACTTTCTGTTAAATTATGGATGATATTTGATTTCAATATTAATCGCAAGTCCATCTTCTTTTCTGTCCTTTCAACTTGATAATTTTTACTATGCAGGCTCGCGTGTATGAAGAATTGGATACAATTTTCGGCGACAGCGACAGACAATGCACTTTTCAAGACACTTTGGAAATGAAATATCTCGAAAGAGTTATTTTGGAAACTCTGAGACTTTTTCCACCGGTACCTGTCCATTGCCAGAAAACTTAACGAAGAAGTAAAGATAGGTAAGTATACCTGATACACAACAATAATATGGATAATTATAAATTTTTTTATTATTTATTTTAGAAACTTACTTATGTAGAATTTGAAAGACTAAAATAGTTAATTTTTATGAAACAACAGTTACAGGTGATTATATTCTTCCAAAAGGTGCCACGGCAATAATAGCACAATTCGCAGCGCATCGTTCGGACAAATATTATCCGAATCCAACAGTTTTTAATCCAGATAATTTCCTACCGGAAAAAATGCAAAAAAGACATTACTATGCTTTTATTCCTTTCAGTGCTGGACCAAGGTATTTAATAGATGAAAGTCTTCGATACAGAAAATTATATACTTAAATTCATTTTTTATACTATATTACAAACATTTTGCAACAAACTTTTTTATGAAAATAACACAACACGTTGTCATATTTGACATTAAAAAATTTTGTTAAGGTCCTGCGTGGGGCGAAAATATGCTATGCTAAAATTGAAAGTCCTGTTGTCGACGATACTAAGAAATTATCGTGTCATTTCTGATGTGCCAGAAAAAGATTTCGTTTTACGCGCCGATATTATTCTAAAAAGGCATGACGGATTCAAGATCAAGATCGAGCCACGCAAACCAGTATCTTTGATTTAATTCAGGAAAACGGTGAAAGAATTTAATTCTCGTGCAAACGCGAGTAAGCGTTATACTATATAAGTTTGAAAATTATATTTTTTATATATTATACAATTATACATTTCGGGAGCGGGTATTTTTTTTAAAGGGCAATAATTCTGATTATAATATTTTTTCAGCACAATATTTTGATATAATGATATATTTAAAAAATTATATTTATTATATTTAAATATATTTTATAAAATATATATATATATATGTATGGTATATGTATAAACGTATATTTACATGTATATATAATTTATTGTATTTAATTTATTATATATTTCAAAAAATATCTACATCTTATCGTTTATCTTATGCGAATGTTTGCATTCGTGTACGTATATGTTTAAAAGAAAAAAATTATCAAATATTAAAATCGAATATTGCCATTTCTATTTGAAACACATCCTGTTTACATTTTCGTGTTTATTGGTACATTTATAAATTTCTGCTGAAAAGAGTTTAGGTCAAAAATTTAATGGACTGTTCTAATGCTTTCAAAGTTGATAAAATTGAATATTGGCATGCTCGATTAAATTTAAATCAAAGCTCGATTGCTGGATGATAATTTAAACGCGCATTATAAATAGTACAAATAATATTCTCATTCGAAAATTATGAATGGACGAGACATATGACCTCGAAATTTGTATTGACGTCAATTCCAACGTCAATTTAGGTGATGAAATGATAATTGAAACTATAGATATGTAAGTATTGAGATATATTCACCCAAATCATTAAAGAATGACCATAAAGAAGCGGTAACCGGTCTATTGCAATTCTGATGATGTCTTTCACCACTATGACGCCACTTTTGTGTTATGGCGCCATACTTGTGGTAAATTCATGTATTTTATATACACATTAAAGATGCAAGATATAATTTCCATACAAAACCAACGACATATTTTATGAGCTACCTATCCTAACGTTAATTACATTGTATTATTACGTCGAGTGTTCTAGAGCAATTTGCTTTGTGAAAAAGCTTCCATGTAAGTATTCAACAAAAATTAATTTTTTAATTTGATAAGTAATAATATTTCTTTGTTATAAAATAAGAATCGATTTTCAAGTTATATATTTCACTTAATATTTAACATTTGATTTAACATTAAACTCCTTTGATTCAGGTCCACCACATGTACCTATATTACGTCACGCATTAATCACTTTTAGACTGTCTCCAGAGATCACAGTATCCAAAACCATGGAATATCTCAATACATACGGATTAGTATTAGGCGGATATTTGGGAACGAGAGTAATCATTTTTCTGTTAGATCCACAGGATATTGAAATAATTTAGAGTAGCCCTGCACACATCGACAAATCCGTGGAATACGAGTAAGAAATCAAATAATCAAAAATCTACATATTATAATGTTTTTATAAAATTAATATAGTTATATAATTTCACGCTGAGTGATTTTTAGTATTATTACATTAAATAAAGGAGAGATTTCGACCATGGCTCGGAGAGGGTTTGCTTATCACAACTGGCGATAAATGGCTAAGACATAGAAAAGTGATAGCGCCTACATTCCACACGAGTATTTTGAAGACGTTTGTACCTTTGTTTTATGAGAATAGCATGGATCTTGTGAGACGACTTCGCGATAAAGTTGGAAAAGAGTTCGACTGTCACGATTATCTGTCAAATGTAACAGTTGACATTTTAACTGAAACTGCGATGGGAATCAAAAGAGAAAAGAGGCAAAGCACTGGATATGATTATGCCGTAGCCGTGATGAAGTAGATATTTAACGTATAAGACGGGCAACAAGAGCCAAATCGCGGATGACAATGCGTTATCCTAACGAAACTAAATAATTTTTCGTTAGAATTAAATACCGGTGCACAAGGCACCAAATTTTTACTTGGACACGGCCAAGATTTTAAATATGAAATAATCTCATATTTTGAGATTTAATTTCAATACCCCTTTTTTAACCCCCCTACGGAAAATACGCGCTGCTAAGTTTCAAAATTACAATGCACCTTAAAGTAACATTAATTAATTTAAACACAAAACATATTTTAACTGTAATGAGTTTAAAAGTAACAATTTAATTTTAATATTGTTAGAATATTATTTAGCAGCGCTCCCAGTTTTTTTAACTAAAATTTTTTTATTTCTTTTTCACATGGCGCATGGACTTGGCATCTTGTTTATCTTTTTTTTTAAAAGATAAGTTTTTTTATGGTACGATTCTACATTTGCAAATTTAAATTTTTACTAATTCATTATACGACTCTATATATGTCTGCAACTTTAATTTTCCACTGGTACAAGTTTCTACTTTCACTTGGCGCAATTTTTTTTTTATTTCATTACTTTTGTTACGATTGTACATGGGTTTATAATCGATAATTTTTCATACAATTCTATTGTACATGGGTTTGCAATGTAGGATTCTACATAAGTTTGCAATGGATAATTTTTAATACAATTCTACATGGGTTTGCAATGGTTAATTTTTCATAGGATTCTACATGAGTTTGCAATGGTTAATTTTTCATAGGATTCTACATAGGTTTGCAATGGGTACGATTCTACACGGGTTTGCAATGGTTAATTTTGCCTAGGATTCTACATGGGTTTGCAATGATTAATTTTTCATAGGATTCTACATGGGTTTGCAATAGGATAGGATTCTACATGGGTTTGCAATGGATAATTTTTGTTAATGGCGTGCCTTTAACTGGTCGCCTTTTTTTACCTTTTTTTAAAGGTGATATTATATACTGTACGTACATTCATAGTATGAATATAGAATATTCGTATAATATCATGTGCTGTCTGGGAAGTGATTAATTGGCGTAGTGATAAATTTCTACAAGAGAATAAGGAGCCTTTAAATTCTTAATGTAAAAAATTTCAAGTAATTTTCTTTAATAAAATTTAATTAAAAAATTTAATTAAAAAATTTTTGAACATTGTGTTAAATCACATTTAAAATTGTGATTATTTCAATAAAAAAACATTTTGTGTAAAAAATATATTTTTTATATTTAATAAATTTTATATATATATATGCATATGTAAAATATTCTCTCTCTCTCTCTCTCTCTCTCTCTCTCACACACACACACACACACACACAACGGGGGCCAAATCTCTCAAATTGGTTTCAAGATCAATTAGCCTGGATTCGCACCAGGGGCAAAGTCTGTTGGTAATGTCAAACGAATTTAGCCTGGACTTGCACCAGGGGCAAAGTCTTTTGGTCGAGTCTACGAAATTTAGCACGGACTCGAACCAGGGGCAAAGTGTGTCGGTAAGGGGCAAAGTCTATCGCACGAAGATGGCGGTCTCTTCTTTAGGCAGGCCTTTGGCGATCTGTCTATTAATCTGTGGTCGTACTAAAAAAAAAAAAAAAAAAATTGGCCCTGCGAGGTCTCGAACTCATCTCCTTTAACAGCTACGTGTTACTGGCGCTCATCTGTGCACATAGCACGGAATCGAACCACGTACCGTGCACATAGCCTGTTACCACTCGGGAGCATCGTGCACATGGCTACGTAGTTCAATGTGCACGTTTTGTGCACATAGAGGCGCTTTGAATTCCGGTGATTTAGTTGCTTATATCATATACATATATAATTTTCAATTTTCAATTGTATTTATAATAATTTTATTTGATCAAAAACTTATGCATATTTTTCTTATAATATTTCTCTTACATTAAGATTAATTTTTTTGAATTCATATATTAAAAGATTTGCTTCATGGATTAATCTCAGGATGATTTATCATTCAAGTGATTAAATAATGCACAATAAATCATTTCAATTAACAATTGAAGGAAGCGGAAAATTTATGTATAAAATGTAATTACAGTTGCTTATATCATATACATATATAATTTTCAATTTTTAATTGTATTTATAATAATTTTATTGAAAAAAAAACTTATGCAAATTTTTTTATAATATTTCTCTTACATTAAGATTAATTTTTTTGTTTGAATTCATATATTAAAAAATTTGTTTCATGGATTAATCTCAGGATGATTTATCATTCAAGTGATTAAATAATGCACAATAAACCATTTCAATTTACAATTGAAGGAAGCGGAAAATTTATGTATAAAATGTAATTACAGTTGCTTATATCATATACATATATAATTTTCAATTTTTAATTGTATTTATAATAATTTTATTGAAAAAAAAACTTATGCAAATTTTTTTATAATATTTCTCTTACATTAAGATTAATTTTTTTGTTTGAATTCATATATTAAAAAATTTGTTTCATGGATTAATCTCAGGATGATTTATCATTCAAGTGATTAAATAATGCACAATAAACCATTTCAATTAACAATTGAAGGAAGCGGAAAATTTATGTATAAAATGTAATTACAGTTGCTTATATCATATACATATATAATTTTCAATTTTTAATTGTATTTATAATAATTTTATTTGATCAAAAACTTTTGCATATTTTTTTATAATATTTCTCTTAAATTAAGATTAATTTTTTTGTTTGAATTCATATATTAAAAATTTGCTTCATGGATTAAGGGGATCCTAAATGATGTTTTTACCGACCGAATGCGAGAATATTTATTTTTTTCATATAACTTTTTATTGACTATACTGATCAATAAATCCTTTTCCACGATTAAAGTACTTATAAAAACGGACCGCGCTAGCTATGTTTGCATATATAAATCATATAAAAATCAAAAATTACAGTTTTGTTATCGGCTGCTTTGTGTCAGTTCGTAATAATACTTATTTAATAAAAAAAGTTTTGCAGTTTGTCTGTGCATGAAATATAGTATGCGCGGTAAAGATTATATGAAGAAATATTAGTAAGCAATTAAAAGTGAGATTGCAAGTCTAATAAAAAAGTTATATATAAAAAAACATTTCACGCATATGTGTGTGTGCAAATCGAGGCTGCGGAATAAAACAGAGCAGTAGATTAGTTGCGTGATATCGTGATAGATGGAGCTGCAACGTGTTTCTCTCTCTCTCTCTCTTTCTCTCGCTCTCTCTCTTTCTGTTTTTTATAAGGTCTGTTCGTTTTGGCTACACTGGCCACATTAGTTCAGAGGTTGTCT